GCGCGGCCCCCCCGCCCCGGGCGCCCCGGCGCCCCGGCCGCGGGCTGGCGACCTTCCCGCCCGCGAGCCGGGAACTGCTCACGACCCGGCCCCGGGGGTCCTGCGCGCCGCGCTGTCACTCGGCTGCCTCCCTTCCCACCCCTGTCCCGTGTCTCCTGCGCCGGGAGTCGGGGGTCTTTCCTGCTCTGCCCGAGGATCAGTCGGGGTAAACGTGGCAAAGTTTGGGCAGCCTCCGACGGCGGTGAATGGGACGCCCGGGCGTTGTTGCCTGCAGTGCTGCAGGGCAGCCCGGCACCCCCGTTATGCCCTCGGGCTTTGTGGGAGGCCACCGGGGCTGCACTGCTGCCCGCTCTGAGTGCCAGCGGCCGCCGGTGTCGGGAGCGCGGCCGCCTGCAGCTCGTGCTCTCACTCGTTGTCTTGCTGTGGGGCTTGTGCTCGGGGAGCGACGCCCACACGAACCCCGTGGTTCCTGCTTTCCCCAGCCAGAGTGCGTGTCAGTGCCCTAACGAACAGGGGCTGTTTGAGGCTTCTCCCGGCACCTTGCCTGCACCATCCCGCTCCGCACTTTTCCGGAGCTCAATTCTCCTCTTTCTGACTGTTTGCTTGCGTGCTCAAGGAGGGGGATGTGTGTGGGGAGAGAAGGAAGACCCAGCTGCTCTCCTTGCACCCTGCGGAACTTTGCTGGGACCCTGTCACATGCAAAGGAGCGGTGGCAGCGGCGTTGGGTGGCGGTTTGCGCGGAGCCTTCCTGGCAGCGGTGGGAGGATGAAAGCGGCTCGCGCGGCAGAGCGTGCTGGGCAGCTTTGCTGTGCCGCCGCCTCCTCCCTGCCCGCGCCGAGGTCAGGCCCGGGGCTCCGCGCTCTGTGAGCCCGCGGGTCCTCCCTTCTCCAAAGACGGCCTTAAGACTCGGCCGCCACTGCCCAACCCGCAATCAGGCAGCCCTGGGCTTGTCTCGCGTTTCCTCTCCCTCTTCCAGTCGCCGATAAGGCCTCGGCCCATTGTGTTGGGATCACGGCGGTTTGGGGCGCCCGGAAAAGCATAGCGCCACTTGGGTTGTGCCCAGCGGGATGTTGAGTCCTCGGAACAGCCTGAGGCCGTAGGGGAGAGTCCTGCTGAAACCCCATGGTGCGGCTACCTCAGGGGATCCACAGGGTTCTTGTCTTGCCCTGTTTTTGTTAAGAAAACCCTGTTTTTGCGTGCTTGTTGTTTCTACTTGTCCCCCACCTTGCTAGTGGAAGCCCTGGGCTGCTTTGGGTGCGTAGAAGGGAGCAGGTGTCACCTGGCCGAGGTGACAAACCCGGCTCCGTTGGGTGATTCAGGACACTCTGGAGCTCCCTGTGTGTGTGTGACACAGGGCTGGGCTGGCGGAGGAAATTGTCCTCTGGCGCAGAGTGCAAGAATGTGTCTCGACACGAGGCTGCTGGAAAGGGGCTGGATTTACAGGCTTTAGACCAAAGTCCGGGAGTTTCCTGAGGTGGCCACAACCTGCTCTTTAGGGTGGCGCTTTCTTTTTTTTTTTCTCCTTTCTTTCCTTCTTGTACAGGCCCAAGAGGCTCTTTGGAAGAAATCGGCTTTTGTGGAGCCCACGCTTGGGGACTCCCCTGGTTGGTAGCTGCTGCTTTGGATCGTGAGTCAGTCCGTCTGCTGCTTGTCTTGTGCCTGTTGCTAACCCGCCTCACTTCCCGCCCCGCACGGGGTTTTGGTGGCGATCCCCGTGTTCGCCGTGAGCAGGGCTCGGGGACAAGGTGATGGGCGGCTCCACGTGCGCCCGGTCCCGTGTCTCGGCATGACCCGAGCGGGGCTGGGGGCCGCGTGATCCTCGCGGTGCCGCCCGCCTGTCCCCTCCGCAGGAAGCGGGTTGGCGAGCGGCTTCCTCCTGCGGCTTCCCGCTTCCTCCTCGCGGTTCCCCCTCCAAACCGCCAGTGCGAGGGGGCAGATCGGTGCCAGAGTGGTGTGGCGTTGTGCTGAGGAGCCCGTCTCTGGAGCGGCATCGCGCAGGCACCGCGGGCGCTGGCTCCCGTGGTGGGGACGGCCGCGTTGGGCGGGCGCTGCCCTCCCGTCTCGTCCCCAGCCGGCCGCTCCCGCCCCTCGGGGCGTTGGCCCTGGTGGAAACCAAACCCCCGTGCAAAGTTCACTTGCTTCCCGGGCCCCGTGCGCGGCCGGGCGACCCGGAAGCTGCGAGCGCCTTCACCTGCCGCTTCCTGGAGAGCTGGGAGTGGCCTGATCCGCAGGGAAAGCTGCTGAGCGCCCCATACCCCTTGATCTGCCGGGAAAGGCGCCGGGACCCCCGCGTAGGTAGGAGAGCCAGTGCCTGAGGCAAGGGAGACGGGCTCCTGCCCGCAGGGATGGCCTAGGATCAAAGCTGGGTGGCCTAGGAACGTATAGGAACGTAGGAACGGAGGTGTGCGGAGGGGCCGTTCCCACCCTGGGCCAGAGGAGGAAGGTGGCTGCCTGTGCTCAGTCACTGTGATTCCTCCCGTGCCATGCGGCACTTTTCTGTGGAGGGCTCCCGGGATTTGCGGGTGGGCAGCTCGTGGTGCGTGGGCCGCCCTCGTGGGTGCGGGCACGGGTGGGACAGCAGCGCGTTGAACCGCAAAGACGAGTTTTTCCGAGCGGGAAGGGTGGGTCACCGGTGGCGTTTGCATGTTCCCGGCAGGCCCCTTGCCCGGCGCTAACGCATTCTTGGGAGCGTGTTGCTGCACGCGCGCCGCTTCGCCCGGCTCCGCCGCCCTGGGGCAGCCTCGCGAGCTTCAAGGTGCGGGGGGACAGAGGTGTCGCGGCTTCCTCCGCTTGGGGCAGAGCCCTGAGCCTGTTTCGGGGCTGCTCGGCGCAGTCGGGTGCCCCTGGGGTGGCTGAGGCCGGGCAGGACCGGGCCAGGTGCTCCCTGGGCCGCTCGGGTGGCGCTCGCCCGCTCCTGGGCCCGTCCCAGGGCGCTGGGAGCGGCGCTTGGCAGGACGTCGTGTTTAGAAGCCGACGGGAAAGGGAAGTGGCGTCGGCGCTTCCCGTCTCACCAGGAAACGTGGCTTTCCTTCCCCTGGCTCCCTGCGGGCCAGGGGGGAGCGGCGCCTGGACCAGGGTGGGAAGCCCCTCTGCTGCCTGGCCGGGAGGAGCTCCCGGCGCCGGCCCTGCCCTTGTGCCGCTCCCAGGCCGGCGCGGCTCCGTCGGGGGCCTGTTTGCTCAACACACGTGGGACGGGCAGGGGGAAAGGGCACCTGGTGGAGCAGGGCAGGAGGTGCCGGGAGCTGCCTCCGGAGCGTCCCCTCCTTGGCAGGGACGGAGATGGGCGGTTTGCAGCCCCACTGTGTCCGGTAGTTGCTCTGTGGTGACTTGGGGTCCTCCTGGGGGAGGGTGGTGAGTGACACAGGCTTGGGGCTCCGAGGTCAGTGGCACAAATCCTGCCTGGCAGGTGTTTGGATCCCACTGAGTCTTGCTCCGCTTCCTTGGAGAACTGCAGAGCTGCTGGATACCTGAGGGCCTGGCTGTGAGCGTCCAAGGAAGAAACGATCCCAAGGGGCTCCGGATGGGAGGAACACGGGAAGCGGGTGGGTGGCTGCCGGCGGCACCTGCCAGCGCCTGCGGTGGCTCCCGGGCCGCTGTGGCCTTGCCGGCGCTCTGAGAGGGACTTTGCTCCCTGCGCGCCCTTATCTCTGTGCGCCGCACTCGTGTTTGCTTTGCCCACGGGAGAGAGGCGGCTCGCTGGGAAAGGACAGCCTGGCGGGGGGAGAGACGGGCCCGGGCTGAAGGCCGGGAGCACTGCGGGAGGCTGGGGGGGGCCGCTTGCCGGGAGCCGCCCCACCAGGGAAGCGGGAGGCCGCCGGAGCGCGGCCCGCGCCGGGAATGTGCTGGCCCCGTTCCCAGACGCGGCCGCTCGCTCGGCTCGCGGGGTGTTTGTTTGCTGCTCGCGCGGCGCCCCCGAGGCCTGGCGCTACCGTGACAGGAAGCGGCAACGCCGGAGCGGGGGGGGCGGCCGGCTGGGGATGCGCCTGTGAAATCCCTTTGTCCCCGCCGAGCCGCTCAGCTGCAAATTCCCACAGAGGGGAGAGAGAGCCGCCTTTGTGCGGCCCGGGGGCTCGCGGGGGGCGGCGCGGCAGGCCAGCTGCCCCGCGGCCGTGCCGCCGCCGAGCCCGCCTGCAGCACCCCGGCCCTCTGCGCGCCGGGAGCTCGGCCCTCGCGCACGCTCAGGTAGTCCGAGGCCTCCCGCCCCCTTCCCCGCTTTCCCAACCGCCGGCCCTGCTTGGACCTGTCCTTGGGACCTGATCCCTATCGTGGCAGCCCTGGCCCCTGCTTGTGCACCCGCCGGGGCCGCAGTCGCTTCCTCCCCTGCTTCCCGCCCGGTGCATCCCCGCCCTGCCTCTTATCTCTGCCCTCCTTATTGGCCTCCTTTGGCTGCTGGCCCTGTTCCCTTATAAGGTGCCGGGCTGCGGCCCTGCCCGCGTCCTGCACAGGTAACTCCCTCGCTCCGGCGGGTGCCTTTCCTAATTTAGGTATGTGGCCTTGGCGGGGGCAGAGGGCCACGTACACCCGGCTGCCATCCATCCTGTGTCAGTTGGAGCGGTCGGCAGTGAGTGACTTTCCCACTGCTGCTGCCCAGAGGAGCTTCGTGGTCCCCACTGTGCCTCCTGCTGCTCCCACCCGGGCACTTTGGGGCCAACTTTGGGCTTGTGACCCTGGGGAGACGCCCCGGGCGGTGCCCGCGCCAGCCTGGCCAAAGTCCGTCCTGCCGCCCGCGGCGAGGGGCGCGTGCCCAGCCTGCACGCGCGGCCCTGCGGGCAGACACCCGGGCTCTTGGTCCCTTTTGGCTTTTAGCTAATTGGGCCCTACCAGGAGCCTGTGGCCAATTAACAGAGCCACGAAGCCGCGCGGCGGGACAAGGATGGTTGCCCGAGTGATTTGGTTGGTTTCTTCTCTGCCAAAAGCTGGGATATGAATCGGATATAAGGGCTGGTCCTTATATCCTTGGTCCCCTTTTCCTGGCAGCAGCGGGAGGGCTGCGCCTGTGTCCTTGTGCTGGGGGTAGAGGCCGCTCTTGGCTGTGCTCGCCTCCCCGCTTTGCCCTGAGCGGAGCCGGCCGGGCTATTTTGGGCTCGCTGGGGTTTTTAAGTAACGGGTGTGCCGCACGCGCCCGGCCGCGGCCGGGAGCTTTGCTGCTCTTGCAGCCGTCCTCAAAGAGCATCGACGGCTGGTACTGCGGGAAGAAAACTGCTTGCTGGTCACATCTTCGGAGGCGGCCGCGGAGCGATCCCTGGAATTTCCCCCGCTGCCTCAGCTTGGGGCTGCCGCCAGCGCCTCCGGGGCCTCTGCCCTCCTCACTCCCTCCGTCCCTTCCACTGGAGGTGGCTGTGCCACGTGTGGGTCCAGGGGTCGGCACGCAGGGACAGCGCTGACAGGGGGCATGGGGTCTGTGCGCACAGGAACAGAGTGGCTCCCTGCCCTCCCACGGGGACTGCAAGAAGGGGGACTCGTGTATGTCCCCCCACGTCGTCCTGGCCGGGCTGGAGGGGCGTTTGGGAGCCCAGTGCTCCAGGCAGAGGAACCGGCGCCGTTCGTCCCCCTCACTGCTCTGTGTTTACTCCCTGTGGAAAGGACGGGAAGGAAACAGCCTCGCGGCTGCTCCAACCCCTTATCTGAGGCCTGCGGTGGCCCCCGCGAGTTTCATTGTTAGTGGCCGCGTTCCCGAGGGACGGGACGTGCGGAGGAGGGGACGCAAGGCCAGAGGAATCTGCTGCCCTTGCTGCCGCTCCCCTACGGGCCTTCCCACGGAGGCAGCGCAAGCTGGACGGTCCATGAGAGCCCCGGGAAGCCGCCTCTCCCGGGGGAGAGCGGGAGGTGGTCATGGCGGGGTGGCTCTCTGGGCAGTCACAGGTACTAGATTCCTCCTGCACGCACTGGCGTTCCTGTCTTAGCAAGGACTTGGCAAAAGACCTCTCAGGAAGCGGAGGCTGCCAAATTGGGACGAGCTGACGTGGGGTTTCAGACGCCCCCGAGCAGGGTCTGGCTGGTAGGACTGTCCCGAGCTGCACCTTGCTGCCTGGATGCCTGTGGAAGGTGGGGAGCGTTGACTCAAGGGTGAGAGCTGGGATGTGTCAGCGCTCCTGGGGTGGCACCGAACCTTCCCTGCGGAGAGAGGATCCCTGGGCGGAGCGGCAGGGTCACAGCTGACCTCACCTTCCTTTGTGGGGCATGGGGGGATGCAAGACGCCTTCAGGCGTGACCCTCGCAAGGTGGGAGGCACGGGGGCATCAGGGAGCCTCCGGGAGCCTCCTTGGGCTCTTGACCTGGCTTTTATTGCATGTCATGGGGACGCAGCCGCCCGGTGACGTGTCGCGAGTGCCCAGGGAAACCTTGGGAGCGGCCGTGCCGGGAGCAAAACCCGTGTGCCCAAGGGTTTGCTTATGGGCCCGTTGGAGATGGGGTGACTGTGAGTTCCTCCGAGCTAGCGGCTGCTGCGGGCTGGGGCTGAAGGGCGTGGAAGGAGCAGGGTCAGCACAGAGCCGGACGGAGCAGGGCTCCGGAAGGGTGATGATGGCACGGGCCCGGCGACGCCGCTACAGCCGCCGCTGCTGCAGGGGAACGGGCCGGAGACCGTGGGAAAGCGGCCTCCGCGGCGGCTGCCTGGCTCCGACGAGTTGCCACACGCCCGCCGTGACTGCGCGGGGTTGGGAAAACCCTGGCGCGGGCTTGCCGGGACTCGGCCGAGCCGGCCCGCCCCTCCGCTCCGCCACCACTTACCCCGTGAGCGGGATGCGGGGCAGCAATGTTGCGTCCAGGACCCGTCCCTCGGAGCGGGGCCTGCGGGGATGAGCCCCTGCCCCACGTCTCATCCTACCTGTCCCCACCCTCATGTTAAATCTGCTCACGTGATTTTTTTTGACCCCGCTGTCTTTCTGTCTCTGCAGCTCTCTCTCCTCCCGCTTCCTCCCTGTGGTGGTTGGGCTGTTTCTGCCATGACTCTCTGCGCCTAGGCCTGGCTGCCCTGTGCCTTTGCCAATCAAACCCGAGCCTCCTCCTCTGACAGGTCTGTATGCAACCAAATCACCTTTTGCTGTCAAAAAAATGTTGATTTGTGGTGCTCTCCTTTGCTGTTTTCTTCTGGGAGGGAATGTCCGAGAGGCCCAAGATGCTGGCTGCCCCTACACTGGTTGTCCAGAGGTCCCCAGGGAAGGACCTGGAGGGTGGTGGGCTTCAATAACTGGCAAAGGGGCTCGTGGGGTCCCCTTTAGGGGATTGCTGCCCCCCTTCATGCCCCTACGTACATAGGAGAGAACTGTGGAGCCAAACAAAATGAAGCTGGGGATGTCCCCAGTACCTCTTCACCTTCCCCCAAGGGAATCTGGGGAGGGATTTAGGTCAGTGCTTGTTCTATGAGACCCTATCCTGCGCATTGCCCACGTGTGGGGCCTGCCCTCTTCTCCCACTGGTGGCTCTGTGGGGCCTTTTCCGTGTGGGAGAGGGTCCCTGCTGCCTGTTCTGCTCTGTAAATAATCATTCTCCTGAACCCACCTTGACCGGATTTGCTCTTCGGTGTAGTGGGTGCAGGACCTGCTGCTGCCCAAGCGCAGAGTTTCCAAGCATAGTTGCCACTGGGGGCCGTGTGAACCATGCCGGGAGCTGGGCTGCTCCAGGACCCCCTTCCCACAGTTCCCGTGGGAGGAAGTGGATGTTACTGCTTTAATCTTATTTGTTTTCCCCCTTGTTCTGGGAATCTGCCGTAACGACATCTGTCTGTCTGCCCTCTCGTCCCTCCTTTCTTCTCCCTCCGTCACGTGCAGTGAAGAGAGTGGCTGCCCTCGGCCTTTCAGGGTTACTGTCCCTCCCCTCGCGCTGCCACCGAGCCGCGTGCGCCCGTGCCTCCGCGCGCCGCCCGCCCTGCCCGCGCCGGGCCCGCGGCACCCATGGACGACTCGGAGGTGGAGTCGACCGCCAGCATCCTTGCGTCGGTCAAGGAGCAGGAGGCGCAGTTCGAGAAGCTCACGCGGGCGCTGGAGGAGGAGCGGCGCCACGTCTCCGCGCAGCTGGAGCGCGTCCGCGTGTCCCCACAGGATGCCAGCCCGGGCTTGGCCAACGGCACGCTCACCCGGCGGCACCAGGTAAAAAGGGCGGCGGGCGCCGGGCTGCCCTCCCGGCCGTCCCCAGGACCCGCAGGACGGCTAGGTTGGTGTCGTGATGCGCCGTTGGGGCGGCGGAACCGCGGGCAAGCTGGGGCCGTGCGGGTCTCGCCGGCAGCTGGACACTTTCCGAGGGCAGAGGCGCATGGGCTGCTATCAGCTCTTGGCATCTTTGCTCCCCACTGCATCGGCGTCTTACAGGGCAGCCAGAGCGCTGGGGCTGCCACAGGGATGTGTCTGTCTCCCTCTCCTGTGGCACCGAGTCCCTAGAGACTTGGTTTATCCCCGGGACTGCCTGGCCAGGCCTGGGAGAGGCCTCCTCCCTGAAGAGGAGCGGGCGCTTGGCAGGCTACATGCAGAGCTGGGCAGGAGGTGCCACCTCTTGGGCTGTGGAATGCCAGGAGGGAACCGCTTGGAGAAGGGGCAGCGTGCCTGGCCTCGCCGTGAGGAGCCCGCGTGGGCTCTGTGAGGAGCCCGTGCGAGTGGGCTCGGGTGTCGGTGATCGAGCGGTGCCTCCTCCAAGGGCTTGCGGCACGTGGCGCGGCCGTGCGGGAGCGGCTTGTGGGGCAGTGGGGCGCCCTGGGCTGGCGGCACCAGGAGGAGGGGCTCCGGGATCCCAGCAGGGCTGCTGACAGGGCTGCCCGCCGTGCCTTTCAGAACGGCCGCTTCCTGGGCGATGCTGACCTGGAGAGGCAGAAGTTCCCGGATCTGAAGCTCAACGGGCCGCAGGTGAGGGCTGGCCGGTGTCTCCCCTCCTGCACCTGGTACTGCAGCGGGTGCCTGCTCGCCACCTGGCTGACCGTGGGGGCTGACCATTTATGTCCCCTGTCCCCAGGACCACAGCCACCTCTTGTACAGCACGCTGCCCAGGATGCAGGAGCCGGGCCACATCGTGGAGGAGACGTACACCATGGAGGAGGACCCTGAAGGGGCCATGTCGGTCGTGTCCGTGGAGACGTCGGACGACGGCACGACCCGGCGCACGGAGACCACGGTACGGACCTGGGGAGGATGCACCTGCGGTGGGCTGTGGCTCTGGGGACAATTGTGGGCTTGTTGTGCTRTGAAGTGGAGGGCTGGTGTGAAAATGCAGGGCTGAGAAGCTGGGGGTGCAGGGATGGCAACTCCTGACTGCAGCGTGTCCCCCGTGCAGGTGAAGAAAGTGGTGAAGACTGTGACCACGCGGACAGTGCAGCAGGTCCCCATGGGACCCGACGGGCTCCCCCTGGAAACCTCCCCGGTGCCCAGCAGCTACGTGCAGACCATGGACAGGAACTTCCGCAAGAACGGCAACGGGGGCCCCGGCGGCTACCTGGGCCAGCCGGGCACGGCCACCCTGCCACGCAACTACCACTACCCCGATGGCTACGGCCGCCCCTACGAGGACGGCTACCCGGGCAGCGACCACAGCTACGGCAGCCTGTCCCGCGTCACCCGCATCGACGAGCGCTACCGGCCCTCCATGGACACCTACCGGGCGCCCAGCCGCCAGGACGTCTACGGCCCCCAGCCCCAGGTGCGTGTCGGCGGCAGCAACATGGACCTCAACCACTTCCACGCCGAGCCGTACGGCCTGGAGGACGACCAGCGCAGCGTGGCCTTCGACGACGTCGACTACAGCCTCATGTCCGACTATGGCACAGCCCGACGGGCAGGGACCCCGTCTGACGCCCGCCGTCGGCTCAGGTAGTGATCGGGGGGGCCAGGGACCGCTAGCAGGGATCCCTACAGCTCCATCCTCAGAAGGTGGAGACTGAGTCACCTACAGCTGTGCAGGAGAAAACTTGCATCCGCTCCTAATTGCGCCTTTAATTGGCGGTAAAAACTCGCTGCTAATTGAGCTGGTTGTCCTGCAGCGTGGGGTTCCCTGGGGCGGTTGGCCATAGCTTTGGGCCCCATGGCCTCTGGGGCTCCCGGGGGAGTTGGATGCCCCATGGCCACGTGCCACTGGCCAAAAAAGCCCCCAAAAAGGCGTCTCCCGCCAGGACGAGCACCTGGCGGGGGCTGCGTGGTGCCCTGTGCAGTAGGCTCCCATGGCAGCYGCGCCGGGCCAGTGTGGGTCGGCCCCAGTGCCCTGGGGAAACTGTTCCTGTAGGCGCAGGGAGAAGCTGCCTGACCTGTTTGGCAGCCAAGCGGCTTCTCCCTCCCCTCGGGCGGTGGGTGAGCAGCGCCTCCTCCGCCTGCGCTGCCCTGCTGGCTGGAGGAAGGGCTGGGGGTCCTCGCGCCGCCCCTCAGAGACGTTGGCAAGTGTCCGGGCACGTTAAGCTGTGTATCCTGCGGGCTGCCCGGCTCGGGGCGCAGGCCGTGCCCCAYGGAAGCTCCCGGCTGCCGGGGGAGCAGCTGTGCCCACCCTCCCAGCCAGCGTTTCTGCTGCTGCGTCCAACCTGTCGGCGAAGTTGTTGGCCCAGGTTCGTTACCCTGCCCACCCGTGCCGCGTTGGCGCTTGGAGCGCAGCTTCCCAGGCTCCACRTTGCGCCGGGGCCGCTGCTCCGCCTGCCCCTCCTGTGGCAGTGGCGAGCGGGCGCTGCTGAGCTCGGCTTGGCCACCACCTCCCTAGCAATGGAAGCAGGCGAGAGCCCGCACGTTGTCTTTCCTTGGTGTATCCCGTGGCGGGGGTACTAGCTACACCGTGGCTACGGGTGTATCCTGTAGCTCAGACAGTCGGTGCCGTGCTGGTTCCAGGCCAGACGGCGCAGTGGCGAGCTGCGTGGCCCCGCTGCCCTCTCCTGCCTACCCGCCTCCGTGGTGGCGTAACAGGCCCGCTTGCGGGAAGCACTTAAGCTGAGCAAAGCCCTGAGGAATTCCCCAGTTCCTTGTCGCGGCTCCCTAGCATAGGATGAATTTGCCCTCTAGTGGCCACGAGCCCAAATATTTATTCCTGCCTCTCCGTGGGCCGGCTGGGCCTTGGGACTGGGTTGTGCCTCCTCTGTGGAGCTGCTGCCAAGAGCAAGGTTGTGCATCCAACCCCAAGGAAGGTGAACCCAGCACGGTGGGAAGGGAGCAGAGGCGCGCTCTCCCGCTCCTGAGGAGCCTCATGCTTTGTGGGGATGGGGCCGCTGACGCTGGCTGTCCCCTCTCCTAGGAGCTACGAGGACATGCTGGTGGACGAAGGGGCCCCTGACCGGTACTACTGGTCGCCCATGGCTCAGCACGAGCGGGGCAGCTTGGCCAGCCTGGACAGCCTGCGCAAGGGAGCGGCGGGCGCGTGGCGGCAGCCGGAGCTGCCCGAGGTCATCGCCATGCTGAGCTTCCGCCTGGACGCCGTCAAGTCCAACGCGGCCGCCTACCTGCAGCACCTCTGCTTCCGCAACGACAAGATGAAGACGGAAGTGCGCAAGCTGAAGGGCATCCCCGTGCTCGTGGGCCTGCTGGACCACCCCAAGAAGGAGGTGCACTAYGGGGCCTGCGGCGCCCTCAAGAACATCTCCTTTGGCAAGGACCAGGACAACAAGATCGCCATCAAGAACTGCGACGGCGTGCCTGCCCTGGTGCGCCTCTTGCGGAAGACCCACGACATGGACCTCACGGAGGTCATCACGGGTAGGTGCTCCGGGGACGGGGCTGTGGTGGGTGAGGCTGCGCAGCGCCCTCGTGGTCTGAGCGCGCGCCTCCGTGTGCGGCCGGCAGGGACGCTCTGGAACCTGTCCTCGCACGACTCCATCAAGATGGCCATCGTGGACCACGCGCTGCACGCCCTCACCGACGAGGTGGTCATTCCGCGCTCGGGCTGGGAGCGGGAACCCAACGAGGACTCCAAGCCACGCCATATYGAGTGGGAATCCGTGCTCACCAACACCGCCGGCTGCCTTAGGTACGCGGGGCTGGTGCTCCCGTCGGCCCCTTCCCGGCACACGAGTGGCCGCTTCGGGGAGCCCCCTGTGCCCCCTGGGCGAGAGCGGCTCCTCCAGGAGGGTGAGTGGAGATGGGGCTCCTGAGGAAGGAGATGTTTCCTTCTGCGGGGAGGAGCTGGAGCAGTTCTGTTCTGCCTGGAGCTGCCGGGCTGGGTGCTGCTTCCAGGCCCCTAGCGGTTTCGCCCGTGACGGGTGTCCCCTGCTTGCCTCAGGAACGTGAGCTCGGAGCGGAGCGAGGCCCGTCGGAAGCTGCGGGAATGCGACGGGCTGGTGGATGCCCTGATCTACATTGTGCAGTCCAAGATCAGCCAGAAGAGCGCGGACAGCAAGGTACTGTGGCAGTGCGTGTGTTGGGACCGGCACCCGCGACGCCCTGTGCTCCTTGGCCAAGCCCTGTCAGGCTCTGCTGGTGCTGCTGGTGGCTGCTTGTGGGCTTCTCGAGAGCAGGAACAAAGCGGGGGAGTTGAGGGCTTCACCTGGGAAGAACATGCAGTGACGGCTTGGAGAGCACGAGCCGAGCTCATGTCTTTAGCCCTCTGGGGAAGAGAGAAGTCTTGTGSGGTGGGACTCGGGTGCTCCATTACCCCCAGCTCATGGCACCCACATGTGCCTTGGCCCACTGTCAACTTGAGCTGTCCCTAGATCTTTCCTCGGATCGCTTCTGCCCCTGGCAGGGAGATTTTTGGCTCTACAGGGTATGAGTTGAGATGGGCAGGATTGGCCATGCCCCCYTGGGGATGGGATTTGCGTTGGATCCGCCGGAGATGGAGCTGCCTGTCTCCGGTTCAGGAGCTCCCCTTRGTGCAGCCACGGCCTGGGCTGGACGGGCATGGGCTGCTCTGAGCCGGGCTCTGGCTTTCTGCAGCTGGTGGAGAACTGCGTGTGCCTGCTGAGAAACCTGTCCTACCAAGTGCATCGGGAGATCCCCCACGCCGAGCGCTACCAGGAGACCCCGCTGGCGCCCGCCAACAGCAGCGGGCCCCCCCCTGCCAGCTGCTTTGGCGCCAAGAAGGGCAAAGGTTTGTTGGGTGGGGTGGAGACGGGACTATGCGAGTGGGGCTCGCGTGTGGGTCTTGCTGCTCCTGCCCTGGCATCGCTCCGTGGAGGCTAAATGGCAGCTTGCCCTGGGGACGCGGTGGTTTGTGCCTCCCCGGCCTTGGGGATGCACCGCTCGCCTTGTCCAAAGTGTTGGACACCAGCTTGTGGTCTCCTGGGGGGTTTCTGTGGTGGCGGGATGGTGGTGGCTGGGTCTGCACTAACTCCGCGCCTTTCCCTCTCTCCTGTGTTGTCCCTGCCCTTTGCTTCCTTGCCAAACGATCTGCCCCATGGTGCTGGCGGCTCTTCTCTCCTCCTGCCTCCCCTCTGTCCTGTCCTTCCCTCCGCTTCGCCCATAGACGAGTGGTTCTCCAAAGGTGAGTGTGCTCTTGGTTCTCCTTTTGCTGTGGTTGGTTCGGGTGCTTTCTGCAGCTCGCCCTGCTGCCCTAACTGGGCCCATGCTGCCTGTGCCAGGGTTTGGGCCCGCGCTGCCCGGCTGTGGGCCTTGCTGGCGCCTCGGCTTCCCCTGGGCTTGTCCAGGTGGTGATGAGCGGCTGGGCCTGCGCGTGTGCGGCAGCTGCCTCACGCCTCTGCGCTTGCTCTTTGAAGGTAAAAAGAACCCCGAAGACCTGGGCACTGACACGGTGGACTTCCCTAAAAGAACAACACCAGCCAAAGGTGGGCTCTCCAGCGCGCTCGTCCTCTGCCATGTCTCGGTGTGGCTTGTTCCCTGGCCTGCTCTTTTCTGCTCCCAAAAGACCTTAAAAGCACTGCCTAAGGCAGACGTGAGGAAGGACCATTGTGAGAAGCCTTGAGGAACCAGCTTATAACTTCAGAGGGCTGCAGATCCCTCTTGCTCTGGGGCCAAGGAGCGAAGCCAAGTGTTCTTGGGAAGCCCCCTCTCAAGATGGGGTTGCCTGGGGGCCTCTGCCTCCCTGCTGGGGTAGCGGGGCCCGGGGGCCCTCAAGTCCTTGAGGGTGAGCTGAACCCAAGGCTCTTGCAGCAACAGAGGGGCCTCGGCCCTTGTGCCACGCCATGTCCCAGATCAGGTTGCCCTCAGCCAGGCGCTCGGTTGGTGTTGAGGGTGCTCYGGTCGTGCCGTGGCTCAGCCCGGGGCTGTCTGGACGGGTCGGTTGCTTGGTGTCGAGTGCTGGCTGAGCCCTCGGTGACTCTTGCTGCCCCCGTGTCCCTCTGGCAGGCTACGAGCTCCTGTTCCAGCCCGAGGTGGTGCGGATATACATCATGCTGTTGAAGGAGAGCAAGACTCCCACCATCCTGGAGGCTGCGGCAGGAGCCATCCAGAACCTGTGCGCGGGCCGCTGGACGGTGAGGGACTCCTCCGTGCCGGTGGCTCCTCCGAGCCCCTGGGGAACGCGAGCGGGGAGGCACTGGCCCTGCATGCCCGTAATGCTGGGGAGGGTCACAGCTCAACCCCTGTGGCTTCTGCTCGGGRATTTAATGCCGAGGTGACCGGGGCAGGGCGGGTGCCCCAGAGCAGAGCTCAGTGCTCCGTGAGCCCCTTCACTGGCTGCSTTACCAAAGTTGTGTCCGTGGGGGCCCGGGAGAGCCCTGGAGCTGCTCTCCTGTGGATGGGGCTTCCTGCCCTCGCTTACGGCAGGAGGTGTGCCCTCCTGGGGTGGGAATCTCTCTCGGTGCTGAGTTGAAGCCAACAGCAAGCTGAAGGGGCAGGGAAGTGCAAAGCTCCCCGTGCTGGTCCCRCCGCGGGAGCACAGAGAGGCCCTGGTTACACCGCGGTGCCCTGTCCCCGCAGTACGGCCGCTGCATCCGCGCGGCGCTCCGCCAGGAGAAGGGGCTCTCGGCCATCGCGGACCTCCTGACCACYGACAGCGAGCGCGTGGTGAAGGCGGCCTCGGGAGCCCTGCGCAACCTGGCCGTCGACCTGCGGAACAAGGAGCTCATAGGTGAGRGCTGCGATGGCCGGAGAGCGACTCGGGGTGTCCTCGCCCCGCATGGTCCCAGGGGGGACCACGGTCCTGGCCCCTCTGTGGCCCAGGGGGCAGCAGGTTGCCCCAGCGTCCCATTACTGCTCCCCTCCCAGGAGATGGGCACCAAAACTGTTGGCATTCCTGATCCTCCTGCGCTGGCTCCTGCCCTCACCGCCTTCTCCCGCTCATGCCCACCTCKTTCTTCCTCTCAGGCAAACACGCCATCCCCAACCTAGTGAAGAACCTGCCTGGAGGCCAGCAGACACCAGCCAAGAACCTCTCCGAGGACACGGTGGTGTCGATCCTCAACACCATCAACGAGGTCATCGTGGACAACCTTGAGGCCGCCAAGAAGCTGCGGGAAACGCAGGGCATCGAGAAGTTGGTGCTGATCAACAAATCCGGGTAGGTTCCGTGGTGGAGGGCACAGAGGGAGATACTTTTCCCCCGGGGTCTCGACGCCAGGAGGGCTTTGCTCAATGTCTCCTTGCTGCTTTCTAGGAACCGCTCCGAGAGGGAAGTCCGGGCTGCTGCCCTTGTCTTGCAGACAATCTGGGGCTACAAGGAACTGCGGAAACCACTGGAGAAGGAGGGCTGGAAGAAGTCGGATTTCCAGGTGTGGAGGAAAAGGGGGAACACACGCAGGCGCTGCCGTGAGCCAGCGCTGATCTGTGGGTTATCCGAGGGCTYGAGCAGCTCCTGCTCCCAGGGGAGGAGAGTTCAGCACTGTGACAGGATCAAACCCCATGTCAACCTCGGGGGGCCCAGAACCCCCTTCCGTTGAGGCCCCCAAGCAGGGGCCGAAGCAGCGGGGAGGCGTTTGGGCCCCCTCTTGCTGGAGGGGAAGGGGCGCCYGCCTCGGCGCTAAGCCGTGCTCCGCTCCCCCAGGTGAACCTGAGCAGCGCGGCCCGGCCCCAGGGCGGCAGCTCCTTCGACGACAGCACCTTGCCTCTCATCGACCGGAACCAAAAAGCAGGTAGGGCCCTGGGAACGCCGCCTGCCCCTTCTCTCCCASCTCGTGCCTCCTCCCAGCTGCCTGGCCTTCCCGCTCTGCCTGCTTCCCTGGCTCTCCTGGCCTYTCTGGTGCTGGTAGCCAAGGCTCCGGGGGGGTTCCTCACTGCTGGAAACAACAGTCGGAGTTGCTGTAGGTGTGGCAGTGCGGTGGTGCACGGCCTCACCTGCTCCTCTCCCCTCCTTGCAGACAAGAAGTCCTCCCGGGAGGAGATCCAGATGAGCAACATGGGAGCAGGTAGGAGAGGGGCTGGGAGCGGGGCTGTGCTCACCGCGCCGCGCTGGGGGTCACGTGCTGACCGGCCCCATCCTGCTCCAGACAACTATTCCACACTCAACGAGAGGGACCACGGCAGGACGTTGGAGCGGTCYGGGGAGCTGGGGGACGTGGAGCCCGTGAAGGCGGCGCCGCTGATGGTGAGTGAGCGGCTCGGGAGACGCTGGGGTCCCGCCACTAACCGCCTTGCTCCGCGGCCCCTACTAACCCGCCGTGTGTCTGCAGCAGGACGAGGGGCAGGAGCTGCCGCTGCCGCCGCCGCCTGAGCTAGAGGAGGCGGAGGAGGACGCGGCCCCGTCCTACCCCGTGTCGGTAGGTCCCGCGGCGCCCTGCCCGCTCCCACCGTCCCGGGCCCATTCCCGGCATCCCGCGCTTGTCCCGCTGCTTCCGCTGCGCCGCCCGGCACCGCGACCCTGCGCGTCCCGCTCCCGCCCCGCTCACCGCTCTCCCTCTCTTTCTCTCCRCAGCAGAAGATCTAGCGGCCGCCCCCGCCCCGCTCAGTTTGGATGCATAATATATTATATATAATAACTCTTCGTGGTGGAATGGACTGATTTTTACCTTGTCTTATTTTTGGTTTTTTCGCTGGACTGTTGGTGCCAACTTTCGCCAGCCCAAAGCCCGGGCGAGGGGCGGCCCGGGCGGCGGTGCTGCCGCCAGCTCTTCCTCGCCATCCTCCTGGCTCCGGGCCCCAGGATGCTGCGCCGGGAGCCGCCTCTGCCTTCACCAGGAGCTGCCTTCTCTCCGCAGCGGCGCCGGCGCCCCGGCTCCCGCCACCTCTTCTGCCTTGCCTATACATGTGTTTTTGTGCGGGAATCGCCCTTGGCGCAAGGCTGGGGCACGAGCGGCGCGTCCCCCGCTCCCGGCGGCGGGAAGGGCTCTCGCTGCGCTCCGGTGCTTGGCGGGAAGGGCAACAAGGTGCTCCTGGCYCGGCCCTCGCTGCGCAGGGGCGAGGTCCGGCCGCTCCGCTCCGTAGGTGGAGGGATCCCACTGTGGGCAGAGGGGCAGGGAGCAGCGGGATGGGGCAGGAGGCTCCCGGCCCCTTTCCCCCCTCACCACGTGCCTTTCTTTGCCACTGTGAAGTAGGTGTGGGGCAGCGCGGCGCCGGGCCCCGCGCCCGGCCCTCCCGCCTCGGTTGGGTTTCGCTCTGGGGTCTAACGCGTCTTCTCCTTTCGTAACGTATGTAAAACACTAATTCCTTTTTTTAAAAAATTCCAGATGAACCAAAAAAACCCACCTCCCCCCGCTCTCTTCGCGTGGGCCCCGGGCCCGGGCGGAGAGGGGGGGGTCCTGCTGTTCGGTGTCCGATTCCTGTGCACACTCTTGTAACGCTTTTCCAACGAAAATGATTTTTTTATATAAATAAAGTTTTTAAAGTGTGCGGCAGTGTCGGTGTGTGCGGGGGGGGGGGGGCGCGGGCGGGACCGGGCTTCCGGCCGCCGCCCGGCCCGCGAACTACAACTCCCAGCAGGCACCGCGCAGGCGCCGCCCCGGCGGAAGCGGAGGGGCGGGCCGCGGCGCCCGGCCCCGCCCCCT